AAACAAACAACGAACCAGAATAGAAGCACTAGCAGTGTAGACATCTAATGCCAAATCCTGAAGCATGGTTGTGGGACAGAACAACAGACTCTGATGCTTTTCATGATCAATGTTAGGTATGGAAAATGAAACTTGAACTGAAGTTGATGGACTGTCAAACAGTGATTGTCTGGTCAAAACTCTTGCTTCTTTCTTACCTTGCATTTTTTCTGGGGTGTGATATGCCAGGCTTGAAGCAGCCTTCTGAGCAAGTCTCAAACTAATTTGATATGCAAGGCATCAAAACACTAGTGAGCATCCAAGAAAGAACCACATTCATCTATTTTGATTTTTCCAAATAATGATCTTCGCTCAAATCCCCAAGGACGTGCGCGCCACAATTGCCTCTTTCAATTAAAAATTTTACTTGAGTTTTTAATGACGTCAATAGCAAAGAAGTGGCAATAAATTGTTTTGTGTCACTATAAACAGCCATAAAAATTATAACTAATAAATAATAATGCTGTACAGTTAAAAACTCGCTCTCAAACAAAGATAAATTATCAAATTTTAACATTTTCAGAAGAAGACGTCATTGTATTAGTAAAGTCAACAGCTCGCGTAAGAAATATTGTGTTCAGGGTTTTCACCGTCATGTGAATTACGTGTTCAGGGTTTTCACCATCATGTAAATTAGCCGTAAGTAAGGTTCATGCTCACTTATTATCTAATTTCATTGGCTTCGTTGATCAGCATTTTCTGTTAGCGGTCACTCACACACCAGTTAGAACATAAAGCACCAGTTTTATATTATGTAATTGGACTTGCCGAAAATCCAGAAATACATCTTACATCTAAGAGTTATTTTAGATAATATTTTATGAAGCCTTTACCTGCCCTTACCTAGGCGTGATTTCTTTTTTTATTACCTGAAAGAATCATTGAACGCTCGTCTTCAATAGCTGTAAGGTGCTCTCCTAATGACCAGGTGAGATTGATTTGAGAGGGATGTGACAATGCAACATGTTGCATTTTCTGAAACTGTAAAGTCTTGGTGATGAAGGAACATTTGGTACCTATAATTAGTATTCTGTACCAGAGTGCAAACTCCCCTACAGCAAATGGTAAAACCATTACAGGTTTTCAAAGGCTTCACCACTTTCAATGTTGCTGGGCATCCTTTGCATGATTTTTACAGGCTAGACTGCTTATAAGAATGTAAGATTAAGGATTTAAAATTTTATATTTGAGTACTTAAGATTGAGCTTGAAATCTCACAGCCGTGGCCACAGCCGTAGCCGTGTTCTTGGAGATATTTGCAGCCGCCCCGGCCCACAGCCGTGGGGCTGCAGCCAGCCGCGGCTGCAGCCGGCCGGTGCAGACCTCTAGTGGGAGCCGCGGTCGCCGGGTCACCGAGCGGTGGGACGCCAGGAATGGCTCGATGTCCCGGCCGGCCCTCGGAGGATCAAAAGCTAGGAGGCTCAGTCAAGGAGGGAATCAGTAGAATCCGCTGAAGTTGAAGTGAAGCCATGCTCACGCTAAGCTGAGCTGGGAGTTTGCACCTGTTTTAGATGAATAGCTTGAGAAGTGACTAGCGTTTCATGAAACAAGAAACAAACTGCGCATATGCAGCGGGACCTCGTGTCTCATATCCGCTCTGCAATCAGAGTTCGTGTGGGCCTTCCCACAAGATTGAAGAGCGTCATTTCGCCAGTGGATGTCTTTTAACGATCTGCCAGGCCATAACCAGGCCTGAAGATTGGAGGCAATTAGAGAAACGTTATCTTTAGAGACATACAAATGACTTTGCGACATAATGACTGCTGAAGGGCTCTCGGTCGACCACGACCGACCGCCGCTGCGCGGCTGCGTGCGGCGTGTGCACCATGCAGGGTCGTTGCCAGTGCTCTCATGGGGTCTATTAGCATAATAAGGCTGTGCGCCCGCCCGCCCTGTAAAGTCATTACTCGGCGACGCAGGGCTGGAAGCCCACGTCTGTTTGATGATTCACCGCCACTTTTATTGAGCGTGAGTTAATTGCTTGGAATCACGAAACATGCGCTCATCAAGTTCATATGGCAATTTGCCGCTGAGGGTGCAGGGGAAGCGGCGGGGAGTTGAGTTGTTGACCTGCTGTCACGGGAAGCGGAGGTGGAACGAGTAGAGTGGTGGACCTGTCGGTATGGTGGGTAGATGGAAAAAGAAGCTCAGTTTTTACCTCAGCTTTAGTGAATGGTAGCATCAGCATGTGTGTACGCGTTGCGTTGTAGACCTCGTTGATGCACAGAAATGTGGAATTTATATAGTTAGCTATGCTCTGCATGATGATGAAAGATGGCCAATATTATTTCATACAATGTTTGGTTCAAAGAGTACAGCAGTTGATACACCAGGCGAAACAACGATGCTGAAAACGATCAATCAATTCTGAAAGGAGGAAAAGCGGTGGGGGTAGGAATAAAAACCAGCAACAAATATGATTCTCCCCAAAGCCCTACGTAAATCGAAGCATAGTTGAAGAGTCAGATTTCTAAAACCTTAGAAACCTTAGAAACCTAAAACCTTAATAAGCGAAACCTTAGAGTCAGCTGCCAGCGGACCCCGTGCCATTGGCGGCCCCGCAGCTCACCCCGCACCTTCCCACCACTCTGAGTCGCGTAGGCTGAGCTGCAGCCGGCCGGGGCGGAGGCACTGCGCCTTGTTTGGGCTGGTGACGTACTCGGCACGGCGGTCAGCACGGCCCGGCACCGGGGCCGAGGCCACGCGGGGCCGTGCAGGGGCGGCTGTGCATACATTACACGCCGGAGAGACCGGTCAGGCGGAACGGCAACCGTACCGCACGGTCACTCGGAACGGCATTGGCGTACTATCCAGCTCCAGAACGGTGCTATCATAGAAATCTGCCTAGGAACGGCACTGCAGTGCTTCTTGATACGGTGGCGGGCCCCTCCTCCACACACCAACCAGTTTTGGCAAGGGGGTTGGATTCTCTAGGTATGACAGGAACTGATTTGATTGAAGGAAGAAAGAAAAACAGCCATCACACTTAATTCCACGGTCGTATCCTTTGGAGACGCCTCCGCTCCACGCCCCGTTGCTCGGAGGTGTGTTCGGGCAGCGACAGGCCGGCTATCAGCCCGTTCACCGTCCCTTCTCCCACGGAGTGTGACTCTTCCCCTCCGTCTCCCGGCACCGACTGCATAAACAACCGTTCCGCGGAGTGACGTGGACATGGCTCCGTGACGCCCGACTGTGACGAACCGTGACGAAATCGACAGGTAAACAGAACACACACCGGGGCGGCGGCGAATTCAATTGGCGTGCTTGATGAGTACACTGAGTTAGGAACCTAACTACATAGTTGGGAACTGCTCAATGTTGCACCATAGACGTTTATTGCAGTTGCGCGATGGCTTCTCGTTTCTTGCATGGAGAGTCTACGTATAATTTTTTGTATGCAGAGATATCAGCCATGCGACGAAAGCCTTTCTGGAATGGGAGCAGCTTGTATCAGAACGGCGAACCAGTGAAATGGCTGCGAACTAGTGAATCTGCTAGTAGTCGCTGATGTGATCACCATTCACCATACGCCTTTCTTCCCACCGTTGTGAGAAGTGCCAGATCCCCGTCAGTGTGGGAACCACCAGACCTCCCTGACGGCGCGCCGTCACTGAGTGACGCGGCGCGGCCAGGTGCGCAGGCCGGATGTCACTCCTCACCCCCGCTGACAGAAGACTGGCGAGCGGCCGGGGCGGCCGGCCGGCGGCTCCTGACCGACCCGGCGCGTCCGGCGGCGCCCCAGGAGCACATCCGGTGCACCGGGGTGGCCGTCACCGCCATGACTGGCTCGATCTGCCGCAGCCGGAGCCGCAGCCGGAGCCGCAGCCGTGCCAGCTGCTGACGGCGGCAGCGTGAGATCAGCAGACGCGCTAAGCATCGCGAGTAATGAACCGTGACGAATATGGACACCCGCGTCACGATGCTGAGCTGATCGGCTTTCATCGTGCGTCAACTCAATCCGAGCGCTGGGTCACGTGCGAGCTAACGTCAGGGTTTCCTGAGCTCGCGGCGCGGCCGGCGCCGGGCGCAGGGCGGCGCTCGCAGCGAATCCGTCACGCTGTAAAGGTGTCGACGTCGTCGGCACGCAGCTGTTTCGGTCGTCCGGTGACTGTCGCCTCTGGCGGCCGGTAGCGGTTAGCGCTGAGCGCGTTCAGCCGGCCTTGGAGGCGGCCTCGCGGTCGGCGCCGCTCGTCTGAAGGCAGAGGTGGCCGGTGGGCGGCCTGGCAATAAACGGACCGCCGCCGGCCGCCGCGGGCAGCCGCCAACCGACCAGATGGATTCCAGGCGCCCGGTCGGCGGGGCTCCAATTAGCCCCGACACGCAACGCTGATGGGGACACGGCCACCGCCGACGATCTGCGGTCGGGACGGCGTCAGAGGCCCGTCCCCGCACGGGCGACGGACCCGCGACTCAGAGGGCAAACGGTCCGCCCAACCGAGCGAGACTTCAACGCGCCGGCGTCAGAGTCACATCTCAGAGGGAGAAACGGTACACCCAGCCGGGCTAATCATCACTGTGAGGGCGTCAGACCATGGCTTGGACATTGCAAATACATGGACCTAAAAACATGACACTGATGAGTGATGATTTTGTTGAGAGCAGCATTTAACACTAAAACACTAAACTAAAACATTTAACACTAAAACATTTTGAAATAAGATACCGTATTGGAAATGTTGTCATGACTTTGACGCTTGATCTAACCGCTGACAGTTTTTACCATAGATTATGGCTGTTTTCCAGTGGCTGTCTCTGAACTGACTGCTGAATGTTTCCACTCTATCATCAGCCCGCTTCTGTACTGACCGAGCTGCTCGTTTCCTTGCTGACCCCTGTCTTCAGTGCTGGCCACTGTCTGTTTCAGCATTGACTGGCTGTCAGTTTCCATACTGCCATTTGTCCGTTTCTGCACTGACCTCTGTTCGTTCCCATGCTGACCTCTGCCCGTCTTCCGCCCACAGGTGTGTCGTTTGGTGTGTGACGGCCGGGAGCGCGGCCGGTACTCTGTCAGTGAGCCGGAGGCGACACCTCCCCCTCCACCGGTGGTACTCATGACCTGGGGTCGACCCAGCGAGGAGCCGCGGCCCCGCCGGCTGCTACTGGCCGCTCACAGCTCGCCGCCAGCCTGCGAGCTCCGACCGCGCCGGCTCTCCTGCTGTCAAATCGCTGCCGCCGTGACGGCTCTGCTCGTCTTTTATGTAGTGCTTCTGTTGACCATCCTGTACGCCACGGGTTCGATGGACGCACTGGTAGCCTCCTCGAGTCGATCCGGGCGGCGCGGCGCTGACGCACTGGAGAACACCGCCGAGGAGGCAGATGTCGCGCCGTGGACCAGCGGTTCGGTGGACATTGAGCGGTTGGAACTGATGCACAGTCCGAGTGAAGCGTGCTCGGGTCGGCCGCCCTACCTGGCGGCGTTCGTCCACTCGGCACCGAGTCACGCGAGGCACCGAGCCGTGGTGCGCCGCACGTGGGGCGCCGTGCGCGACGTGGACGGCGCCGGCGTGCGTGTGGTGTTCGTGCTCGGACGGCCATCATCAGATGACGACTCCGGCACCCAGTCACTCATCGACGCCGAGGCGCGACAGTTTGGCGACATCGTGCAGGCGGATTTCGTCGACACGTATCGCAACCTGACGATCAAACATCTTCTCGGTCAGCGCTGGATGTTGAAGCACTGCGGTGCTGCCAACTTCTTCGTCAAGGCAGACGATGATGCGTTCGTGGACGTGTATCAGCTAGTGCGTTTCATGAAGCGCACGCACGGTTCCACGGCGCCATCCACGCTGGTGTGTAACGTACTGCCGGCTGGCACACCGGTGCTGCGGCGCGGCAAGTGGGCTGTCTCGCGCTCAGAGCTGGCCGCCGACGAGTACCCGCGATTCTGCGGCGGTATTCTGTACCTGGCGGCTCCAGAAACGGCGAGAAGACTATACTCGGCGGCACGTACCCACCCGCACCCTCTCTGGGTGGACGATGCGTTCGTCACCGGTCTGGCGGCCGAGCGGGCGGGCGTGCGGCACTTCTTCATGAACCTGCGGTACACATACGAGCCAGACGAGCTACATCAGTGGCTGGAGCCGGAGAGGGTCGGCCCGCTACCCTACATGGTGGCCCACATGGACACGGCGGCGCCCGGGTGGGCCGAGCTGGCACTCCGAGTGTGGCAGAAGACGCTGCGCACCAGTCAGAAGGCGTGATGAAGTGACCGGAGGCGCCCGCTGCGTGCTGAAGGTCACTCGAGGTCAGTGGTGGGCGCCGAACAATGCCAGTGGCCACTGCTGGGCCCGTGAAAACTCGAGGTGATAGTGATTGATGCGCTGGGGAGTGACAGTGGTGCTATTAAGGAAGATAATAGAGAGAAGATAGCGCCAATTAATGCGCACTAATAGTGCTATGATAAGGCACCATGGAGCGATGCTCATAGGCCATTAGATCAGTGTATGTTTTCGCATTGTTCGGTGCAGTGACGACAGCAGATGCGACGAGCGCAACAGAGATCTCATAGAATGCGCTGCCCCGACAACTGCCCCGTTTACCACTTCAAAACTATTCAACAGGTTTTATGGCACCAAACGCATACAAATTTTCGCCCTTTGTCGAGCGTCTGATGACTGATCAAAAGCGCGTTAACTGTTTCACCATGACGTGAGGGCCTGCACGATGTAAATTCACAGTATCCTTTAGATGACTGCCAACTCTGACCTGCACGAATGATTGCACGCAATGTTCGCACAGTGATTGGCGACCGGTACCGACCATGATGGGCCGATAGTGGCCATTGTGCGCGCGCGGGGCCGTCCCAGTACCACGGTCGCGCTCTGTCACCTAATGACCGGCCACAAAGGCTCAGTGTTCGCGCTGTCCGGCGGCACCTGATGAGTGAATCAGGGCCTGTCGACCGTACGGCTTCACGGGTGCCGAGGGGCTGAAATCGCAGAGGCGACCTTCACGATAGCATCGATAGGATGCTACAATGTGATCAGCATTGAGTGTAAAACCATTGCACCGAAAGGTGGGAATTGTTTATGTGGCATTGGTAATTGATAAAGTGTAACGGGAAGGAGTGCATGTTGTTTGGTTGTTATTTACCATTAACTGTTGATTGACTAACAAAACAAGACACATACATGACGTAAAATATATGTAATCAACTAAGAGGGTTTTATGTGGTGTCTGAACATTTCCTGGGTTTCAGTACTGCTGAAATCCGCAAAATGTGAAGCATTATTTGCTTCGCAATATCAGTGATAAATTACGTGCGATCACTTCTCCCGGAGAATGAAACCGATGGTTACGCCATACAGTTTTTCATTTACCTTCTATTCTTGTGAACATTGCGCAAACTGTCCCAGCCATTTACATCTCAATCCTTGCCTTTCCACTGCCCAGCGTCCACCAACATCTATGTTGAGTGCCGTGTAAACAGGAGTGTCGCCGCTCCGGTCCGGCCTCGGGCGCGGGGGTACAAAAACGCCGCGCCCCCAGTACCGTTAGCCGCCTCTGCGGGCTGCTCCGGAGCAGATTATCTGGTGTAATGGGTCCGGCAGGAGAGTGCCGCCGCCGGGCCGACCCAGCCACCGGCGATCAGAGCCATCCCAGCTCCGCGGGCGGCCAACTGTGCGTGCCTCCTCCGAGAGGATAATGACATGCGTCGGGCGCGCGTGAAGCGAGCATTGATGGCTGGCACCGGCGAGATAATCAGGTGGTGTGCCGCAGCCGCCTGAACCGTGGCATTATAGGCTGACAGGTATAAATATGGAATGGAATTTCGATTATAGCTGCGCGTCGTTCACAGACGCTGTGTTGGCTGGAGCTATGAGAGCTGAAAGTTTAGCTATCATAAACAATTATGCGGTCATGATAGTGGTAAGCACTGATCCTGCATCCACGCTCGGTAAATTTTGCCCCGGCAGAAATCGGGGCTCGGGCTTCATCTTATCAAATCAACTGTCATAAAGCCACGATCATGATTACTGTTCCGAGTCTGACGGCTGTCGCTGCTCGTTGAGCTGCATGTTTGGTGTGTGATAAAATGGATAATAATTTTCCGTAACCACCTGTGAATAAAAGAACCGTTCGCGAACGCGAACGCGAAACGTCGTGTCAAAGGGTCGACAGCGTGACTGGCGGGGCGAGAGAAACGGCGACGGGAACGAAGCCAGCACCGGTAAAATGAGTAGCCATGCTATAAAGCTGTGTCTGCTCCCCGTTACAGCATCGGTGAATAAGTGCACAGTCGTGAACACTCCTTGTTACAACACCGCTAAAACTGCCGCTCGTTACAGATAGCGACCGAAATGTCGTCTGGGGTTATCAGTGCATGGGAGTTCCTGCGAATGACTGCTTGCTGGGTGACGACTGGCCGCATCGCCTCCCTACATATACAATATGATGAAGGCTGACTGTCTTATCACATCAGAGTGTGGTGACCACTGACTGCCCCCCCCCCCCCCCCCCCCGCCCAGCAGCGTGGTGACCGCCGCATCACACCAGTCATAGGAAAGTCCAGCCACCGACATCTGAAACACTCCCGTACTAGGCCACTTTTAAATATCTGGTGTTTCTGGTATATCTCTAAGTGCTTTGGCAAGGAGCATAATATTTAAGTAGTATTGTTTTTTTTTATCTCGACCTTCTCCTTGTTGATAGATAGCCAAATATTAAAACAATTTTTTTTTTGTTTTAATATTAGTTTAATATAGTTTTTTTTGGAACAATATACATCTGATGATGGGCTGTGCCCGACTGCAAATGTAACCTATGTCTTTTAATATTTGGCTATCTATCAACAAGGAGAAGGTCGAGATAAAAAACAATACTACTTATCTGGTGTTTCTGTTTTGTTTGACATCCCAGACTCCATCTTATGCCTCGAAGCCTGGGCCTTGGTGCTGGTGTGCTGTGGGCAGCCGTAGGTATAGTCTCCATGGTGGTTGTGTGTTGTGCGGGAATGCAGTCTTTAGTGCTAGCTTTTTGTGCGCAGATGCAGTCTCCATGGAGCTCGAGGCCAGGCCGCAGATGCTTACATTCTACATCTATGGGTAATGCAAATGCATTGTTGTTGATGCATTGCGGACGAATGCTTGCTGTGTCAATAGTATTTTCAGCTGCCAAAGTCTTGAGTACATTGACGTTTTCACCAGATTTCCGGCAAGTGGCATTGAATTCTGTTTCATTAAAAACATCCCTTACGAAATGAAATTCTGCTCAATGGGCAATGACATTCATTACATTTTCTTACACTGCAGTTTTTGAAGAGCTGCACAGAGGCTTTAACCGGTTGTTCAAATCTGCAGCCGGCTTACTCAAAGACACATGCCGTGGTTTTGGCCTGAACCTTGGACCACAACATCTTCCTGTGGTCAATGACCGGCTCTTTGTCTGCCAGCTGGGTCGCAGGTCAGGTTTGGGGATTTGTCGGGTCAGCCATCAATCAATCTGCCAATCTGGCCCGAACAATGGCACATACCTGGACAATATATTATCTGGGCTTTCGGTACGCTAGCATACAGTGCAGCGTGCAATGTGCATGCATCGACTCCAATCAATGTTTCTAGTATTGTTTTAAATTGAGATTGATAGGCTACGGAAATAGAAACAGGTGAATGCGAACTGATATAAATAGTGTGGAAAAATGACCCTCCCGTGACCAGATTTGTCCACCAGCCCGGACCGTCTGAGACCCGGTGACCGCCACTGACACCTTCCTGGGAACGTCCGGTCGCACCGTGCTGGTAACGCACAGCGCTGCGGTGATCGTGACGCCGCTGTGACGGCGTATCGTGACGCCGCTGTGACGGCGTGTCGTGACGCTGACACGCGCTCCGTGTCACGGCCGGTGACAGCCGTCACGAGGCCGGGATCAGTGCCGCCGACGGTCACGACCCGTCTTACCGTCCTGTGACAGTCCTGTGACAGTCTGATAACAGTCCTGTGACTGTCACCGCCCGTCTCACAGACATGTCACCGCTCATCTCACAGCGCTTGCACCACTCACAGCTCACACACCAACAGACTCACAGCCATTTCACCGCACTCTTCTAACACCTCTTAGGCCACCCGTCTCACCCGTCTGATTCCGTCTCACAGTCCGTCTCGTGCAGTATTTCCACAGTCCTCTCATCCCCAGTTTTACAGTTCTCTAACAGTCCTCTAACCGGCATGTCACAGTCCTAGCAGCTACCAACCATCTTACAGGTCACTTGCAGCCTGCCTCTCACAGTCTTCTCACAGCAACCTCATTATAAAGTTCTATCGCAGTTATTTCACACTTTTCACTCGTGTTTTACAAGTTTTCAAGTTTTTTTTTTTACAAGTTTTTAATTACAAGTTTTCATGGAAATGAGAGCTGTCATTGTCCCAATGCCGACCCGTCGATGTCGCCGGATGACAGGGTGTCACAGCGGCTGCGTTCCGCATTCCGCCTCTGCCAGGCGTGATCGTATGAATGGGTGCCGCACGCCGGGAAGGCCGGGGCGTGTGCTCCTCGCTCGCCAAATTCCGGGCGGGTTGCCGACCGTGAGGAGTCGATACGCACGAGCGGAGCCCAACAGTGGCTCCCCAGGCAGCCGGTCCACACCCGCCAATCAGCCCCCGCCGATCGGTTATCATAAACGCGGATCGATTATCCTGGTGGTTGGGAAACTGACCTTTCTATTTCGGGAGAATTTAATGAATGGGTGGAATGGATACCAAGTGATAACCCACACCAGCGCTAGGGGGGCGATGTGACAATTTTTCCAGAGTTTTGATGAATTCACCACAACCACTGAGCAGTCTGTCTTTGATCATGACAAACATTGTCATGTGCAATTTAAATTCTCTCGAGTTCTGCCGTGCTGTGTGGCCTATGACGGTATGCTTAAAATAGATGCATAACGCTTTATTTTACTTGCATCTTTTGTTTTTAGAACTTAACCCTCGCCGGACCTATTGGTTTTCTACATACGCGCCGGCCGAGGGGGGGGGGGGCGGCTACGACCCCCCTCGTCGTTTCGCCCCTGGTGGAGCTAGCGCGTCGCAGAAAAAAAACGAGCGTGTGCGCCGTTACGAGACGCAGAGATTGATATCCAATTTTAAGGTCCTGGTCAACCGGTGACCTCTGAGGTCAGGTCAAGTGCTCCAAGGTACGGTTCCGTTTTTGGTGAATAACTTCGCAAAAAGCGGTCGCAGAGCCGCGATTTTGGCAGCATCGTGTTTGCCTCGCTCAGGCGCGTCGAATGATATACTCTTTATTTGGGTGAGGTCAACTTAGGGTATTGACCTCCGGTCACGGTCAGGTCAGCACCCAGGTCACGAAATCGGTCGAAGTAGGTCATGTCGCATATCATTTGATTCGGCAGGTCTTCCTGAGTCCATTGGTGGCTTTTCTGACTCGCTAGCTTAATTTGATCGAGAGTTATTGACGAGAAACTAATATGACCCGATGACGTCATAAATGACGTCACGCAAGGTCAACATTGCAAAAATGACACATCTAACCTTGCAAGGAGTGCACCAAATCACGATTCTGTGTGCTTGAGATAGTTAGAGATCGTTACCGGTGCCAGAATAGCAGTTTTAATTTTTCCCCGTTGACTTATAATGGTGAGGTCACGAAAATGACCTGACCTCATATGACCTTTAGGAAAAATCCGAGATATACAAGTTGTGAGACTAATAATGGATATTAGATCCTGCAAGTTTCATATCCCTCTGAAAGCTACTCTGGCAGTGAGGGCGTTGCGAAGTTGCGACATCTGAAGATCGTGCAGAGGTTCACTTAATACGTCATAGGTCAGTGACCTGACCTGACCAGAAAATGCAATTTGTTTCAAAAGATTTGGCATGAATCAAAGGTCAGGTATCCCAAGTTTCAGCTCTCTATCGCCAGCGTGTTCGGAGCTATCGCGAAAAAACCCTATGGGTGGCGGCACCCGCCCCCCCCCCCCACAGTCGGACGGCGAGGGTTAAGCTTTATAACGGAACAAACTCGAGTGATATCACTTGCTTAGCTTCCTATGCGCTCACGTCATGAAATAAGACAAGCGATTAGTATAAACCAGGTTTGATGTTTTATTGTCTGTATCCTTGGTTTATTCAGTTATTTACGAAGACATGTACAACTTTTTAGAAGAGTCATCAATACGAATAACGATCGAGACAATAGACAGGAA